AAGATGACTGAAGAAACCCGTCAAGCTTTGGGCGATTTGACAAATCTTTCAAACAAAAGAGGGATTTCTTCGGTTTTGGGTGATTTGCTTCGTAAATCTGAAGATGGATCTGGTAAGAGTAAGACCATTGCTTATGAAGATTCGAGAGTAAAGTTTTCGAAGAGGTTGTGTTTAGTTGTAGATGATTTGGTTAAGGGAAATGCTAGTAGTCCTGTTGATACAACAACAAACAAAGGGTTTTCTTCTGATGATAAGAATAATAATACTTCTGGTGATTCTTATGACAAAGAATCTGAGGAATCTCATGGTGGTACTACTATGGTTGAGATTTCTAGTGGGGATGGTGAAGCATCAAAGGAGATCTATTTCGAACCCGGTGATAGATACGGTGCACGAGATTTTAACGCGGCTGCTAAGGGAAACCAAACTGCTGTTGCTGGTGAAGGCTTGGCTTTGTCGGTGTTAAGTAGTAATGCCGAGAGACAGAATTCGTTTGTGATTAGGGAGGAATTGCCTAATTGTCAGAATTTGAGATCATTTGAAATGAGTCGATGCTCGAATGTTAACAAGCAGGAGCATGTGAATCAGAATGTGGGAGATGATTTGCTAAAATCTTGCTCTTGTTCGTTTTGCTTGAAAGGTGTCTGATTCTTCTGCTTTTTCTTACGTATCATTTCTATTTGTTGCAATGAAATGATCTAACTTAGTTATTGCAATAATGAATTGCTTCAGCTGCTTATATCTGGTCAGATCTTCATTATCAAGATATCAAAGGTCGTTTATCCGGTATGTTTCATATAACTACAAACCATATATTCCCCACAAGCTATTGGAGATTCCCTTGTGAATATTGTCAAATGATCTGTTTTTGCTTTTCCGAATCAGCCTTGAAGAAGAGTCAGAAAGAAGCTAGCAACTTGATTCGAAGAAATGAAAAAGAAAGGCCTACGGATTTGCATGCCTCGCTAAACTCTGCTACTTCTGCAAAACTAGAATCTGATCTCATGGGCCAATGGAGGTCGCTCTTTCTCAGCATGGGAGATATTCTCGCTTATGAAAGTAACCACCTTGTAAGTGCTTTAATAAGGTTCTTATAATCTTGTTCTCAAAGGATAATCCAAAGTTTTTTTTTTTAACCCTTTTGCTTCTTCTTCACAGCAAAATAGCTTTTTGACAATGAAAGAATTCCGAGATGATTGCAAGATTGATTTGGAGAGAGCGACGAAAACACCTCAACACAACACCTAGTAAGTACTCTTCTTCTCTACTTGATCAAAAACTTCTCTCTTAACATTTCAGCAGCTCGTGTAAAATTATAATCTCTGGATGCAATGTATATAGATGCTTGAAATCGTATATGATTCTGTATGTGTGTGCAACTACTATTGGCTTTAGTTCTTGTCTCAAACTCTGTGTTCTTCAAGGCCAACAGTTACCACACACAAGTGTCTTTTTGTTTCTTTGCAATTGACCATTCTGTTTTTTTTTACTCTTTGTTATGTATGACTTGGAATCACACTCAAGTATAAGATTGTAATTGGTGAGAGGTCCACTCGTGCTGATAATAATCTACAAATCCTTTATAAACAACAAATGATTAACATTGATAAGCTACGTGATCATGTTAATCAACGTATTAGTTTAAGAATTACGAGTTGAATTCGTCTATACTTCTTGCTTTGACATACAAAAACTCAATTAAAAATAATAAATTTATTAAGTTATTTATAGTGTTCTAGATACTGACCAGTCTGTTTATATATTATCTGATTTAAACTGAATTAATTTGTCGGAAACAAAAATTGAACTAATTATCTTCTCGGTTTAGAAGAATTTTAGTAACACCTAGAAAATAATTTTTTTTTACTCATCACTCAAACTAAACGGGCTTAGTGGGAGATGAATTTTGAAAGACTTGTTATTTTTTTTTAGATTACATTGTTATTGGTTTGCGGATGTTTATGTTTTTGATAACATCTAGTGTTATTGGTTTGATGACACTTTGAAGTTTTATTCAAAATCCAATTCCATGAAAAGTTTAGCTATCATTGATTTTGGAAATCTATTAAAATTTAGTGTTCGTAGGATAGCGATTCTTTACAGATTTACTCATCAAACACAGTTTTTAGAACACGATAGAATAATCTTTCAACTTTGAAAATACGCAAACCTCTCCAATATTTTAATGCTACTTTGAAAACCAACCAATTCTACGTAAATCCAACTCCTACTAATGCTACTCTTTTGTATGGATTTTTCTATTCGAAATTGGGGTTTTTGTACCCATTTTTTTGATAAAAGATGTCAAGTATGTTGGAAAAAAGAGAGTGGAGAGTGTCATTGCAAGTTATGTTCACATATACGACGTGTAAAGATGTCAAAGTAATTTGAACCTTGTTAACTTGATAGTTATGGACTCTTTAGAACAAATTTGTGAACAATAATTACTGGACCCAGTATATTTGGTTATGAACCTACTATTTTATTAATTTACTGTTAAAGCCTAATAACATTGGAGAAAATGAACCCACTGCTCACTTGGGCTTGTTACAATAATAAAGTGGAAATCACTCTAAAATATCTCTTGTATGAAATACATGTGTATGGCGGAGGTAGCACGTTGGGAGGGTGACCCACATGATTTTTTTTAGACAATGTAATTTATATTAAGTGTTTTAATTTGATCCTAACCCAAAATAACTATTGATCCCTATTAAATTTTAGTTTAACTATAGCCCAATAAATATATAAATATTTGAAAATGTTAAGCCCAATAAATTTATTCAAACAATCTTAAGATTAATATAAGGCCATTAATTTTTGAATATTTCTTTTAAAAATTAGGGTTGAAACCAAAAATTGTTCTTAATTTTTTCAAAAAAATAAAAAATAAGGCCATTAAGATATACTAAATCTAATTATTTCTAGTAGTTATTTGTTTTACCTTTTCATATTCTACCCTTTTTTGTTTCAATCGTGACTACATCTGTAGACGTGGTCCGCTTTTCAAGGTCAAAAGTGTGAAAACAAAATCGATTTGATATTTCTTTTTTTTAAATAAAGTTTTTGCAAAAAATTTTAGTGCTAATTTACTTTAGAACAAAAAAATATATAATTAGAAAACTAACAAAAAGTAGTATATGCGACATATTTATATCCATTAGATGATGGTTAATTGGTTATATTTTTGAATTATAGTTTTTTTGGGTTATTTAACCCAATTTCCCATTGATTTAGGCTAAAAATTTATTATAATTTCGGCAAATTATTTTTCTGGTTCCGCCATTGTATGTGTGTTTTTTTAGCTGATACATATGTTTCATTTGCACATGGATGCATCATACATGCTACTTAGAATACTTTCAATGTGAGGTTTTACGAGAGTTTTT